GCCCAGGCGTTCCTGAGGGACGACCCTCGCGCGAGCAATCTAGAGCTCGCTATCGTCTTGGGGGGGCCCGCCCAGAGCTTCCTCAACAAGTCGTTCGCTGCAGAGAAGGCTGCTCTGGCATGTGCGCAGGCGGCCCTGCGCGTTCCTGCGGGGGCCGGCAACCCGCCGCCCGATTTCGCCGAGGTCGAGGCGAAGGCCGTCGACACGAACTGGGCCATCGTCAGCGGGTCCGAGGGCAGCGCCGTCATCTGCAAGCTCGCGGCCTTGATGCGTTCTTATTCTGCTGGGAAGTGGAAGGACCGATGGCGAAGCGGAACGGGGTTGGCCGCGGCGGGCGGGGGTGGGGGCCGTTGGGGGCGGGCCTGCCTGCCGCCCCTGCCCGCCCCCCCCCCCCGCCGTCCTTCGCCGTCCCTTTCGCCCGCCGAGGAGTTGAAGTTGCCGCGCGAGAAGAAGCACAAGGCGAGCCTGTGCATCATGAAGGGCATGGCCGAGGCGTGGCAGCGCTTGGTCTTCGTGTATCAGCAGCCGAAGTTCGAAATCTTCGCGCTCGCAACGGCTAGGGAGTATAGCCAGGACGCCGTTCGCAGAGTACTTGGCCCACTCGCAGCACGGAGGGGGCGCTGCACCGACTGCGTCGATCAGTTCACGTGCGTGTGGCTGAATCGCCTGCAGGACCCATGTCGTTCACGCAGAGCACACAGATCGTTGAGGTCGATGTTGAGCTGCCTGCCAGTGAATTCGACCCGATGTGAGAGGAAGCATTTGATTTGTCAGGAGCTGAAGAGAGTTCGATCCCGAGGTAGGGCCCCGACAGCCACATCGACGGCACGGCGTACTTATATTTCATCAGTTTCCCAATCGCATTCGAGCAAATTGAAAGATGTGATGGCAGATGTGTTACCTGATCGTGGCATACGGAAGTCATTTTCACAATGCCTGTCAGCTTTCGACGTGGGCGGTGGGAAGAGACGCAGGTGCGATGCGCGCACGGGGGGAGTGAGGTTGCATGCAGGAGCTCTGACGGCATCTCCCAGACAGTATCGTGTGCGGCCTTACGATGTAGTTGTATCTCAGAATTTCGAAGGTGGAGCTGCTGGAACGATGGCACGATGCAACCAGACAAGGAAGAGATGGAAAGACTTGCCAGCTGAATCCAAGGACGCGTACGTGGCGCGAGCTGCTGCTGAGAATCGGGTAGTGGAAGAAGTTCGGGGCATGGACTTTCACCAGTTCAGCAGGTCAAATCTGGCTCAGTCACTGCGCAGGGGATTGAAGCTAAGCCTCAGGAGGTCCAGCGTCATCACGACCCTGCGGAAGTTGAGCGACCACGCTGCGTGGGAGACAGGCGCCAGCGTGGATTGTTTTGAAGGGGGCCTCCACGTTGACAAGGTTCTGAACCATACACGGGCGCAGGCGCGTCAATTGGTGGAGACATGCATGGGGTACGACCCAACTCCTGTGCCGAATCCACTTGGGAACCTGAAGCCGTTCTCAGTGTGCTCTCTACGACATGGGGGGCTCTGCAGCAGGGGCCACTATCAGGAGGGGTGCTCGATCGCGACGAAGAACTTGCATCGCTGGTGTTTGACCCACATCGGCGACGCCAAGCGGAGAGCGAGCTCGCCCCCCATCTTGCTAGAGTTCAGCGCAGCTGCCCCAGGCTCGCAGCCCGCCAAAATCTTAGTATTTCTCGCGAAGATCGTCGGTGCTGGCGAGTTGGCCGTGACTGTCCGTATGCTCCCCGTCGTGTACCACAATGTGCAGAAAGCTCAGCTTGGCGCGGGGGATGATGTCGTGTCCAGCTCGCATTTGGATTTCAAGAGACTCTTCATCGCTGCTGGAGTGGATGTCCCACATCACATAGATATGGCTTGGATCGGTTATCAGAGGGACGTGGACGTGGACCACTTCCAGATCATTCTTGATAGGTCCAGCGAGGTTCGCGCAGAGCTGAGTTGCGAGCGCGAGGACGCCGTGGTCAAGGTCGTGCACGGCGCAGCCAAGCTCGAGGCCGCGGCCAAAGCCAAGCAGAAGTACAAGAACGTCTTCGGCGTCAACATTGGCACGTTGCCCGACGCGGGCCCTGCTGGGGGCGCTGGGCAGCCTGGCGCATCCGACCTGGGCCACATCAGCGACGACGACGCCGACTACGAGAAGGCCGTGGTCGAGCGGGAGTGCGACGAGGCCACGGAGTCAGGAGTCGACGCGGAGTCCGACGCGGTGGTCACCGACGCCAGCGTCTCGGAGGATCCTCCGCCTCCGCCTCCGCCGCCGCCTCCACCACAGGACATGTGGGGCAAATGGGGGCGGGGCAATGGTGGGGGTGGGGCGCCATAGGCGTCCCTCTCGCGTCCTTCTGAGGTGCGTTCGCCTTCGCTGCGCCGTCTTCCTTCGGCTTCTTCGATGGCCCCATGAGGGCCCCGCCCATTCCCCGCGGGGGCCCCGGAGCTCCACGATTGCCCCGCGAGCGCCCCTAGACGCCCTTCGGGAGCTCCAGGGCCCAAGAGAGCCCCATCGCCAACGTCGCCATCATCACCACTTTACGCCATATCGCCCGCTATCGTCATCATCACCATCAGCATCATCAGCACCATCATTATCAGCATCATCGTCACCATCAGCATCATCGTCGTCATCATCACTCCCCAGACATCAGCTGCATCATCATCGTCACCACCGTCATCATCAGCGTCATCAGCACCACAGGCAGCGCAATCGTCGGCATCACTCTCATCATCGCCTTCATCACCCCCATCCTCCTACGCTTCCTCGTCCGCCCATTACTCCTCTTACCTTTTACTCGTTCATTCCTCCGTCGCATCCCTAGCCTTCTCTTCCCCATCACCGTTATCCCATGGCCCCCTCATCATCATCATCATCATCATCGTCATCAGCACTATCATCATCATCGCCGCCATCTCCATCATCGTGGTTCCTCCTCATTATTATGGTGTGCCCGTGTGCCCCCGTCTCGTTCTCATCATCGTCATCGCCCGAATCGTCGCCCTCATCCTCATCTCCTTCAGCGTCGTCACCGCCGTCATCGGCCATCGGCCCTCTTGCATTGCTCTCGTGCGTTCTGAGAACCCGTGCTGGTTCTTGGGGGTCTCCGCATGCGCGCCGCGGGCGCCGGCCTATTGTTGTATGCGCCCGTTTTCCCAGGCTTGAGTTATCGCGCATGAAGCGCGCGGGCTGCGAGTCGTTGAACGTACTCAGCATGCAAGACGTCAGGCTCGCATGGGGCGCTGCGCGCATCCGAGGCCTTGTCGGGGCCCCTTAAGATTAAGCCTGGTGCGGCTGGGCCCCCCATGAGCCTTGGAGCCCCTGTTGAGCCCAGTTGGGTTCTCCTGGCGCAATGTTGGGGCTCTCTCGGGGAGTCGATGGGGCCTTGGCGGGGGCTGTTTGGCGGAGTCCGCGAGCCCCCCTGGGCCCTGGGCCACCCTGGGCTCCATGGCCGAAGGCGAGGAGGGGCGGTGCGAAATTAAAGCCACCCCTTCAAAGGCCGAAGAAGCGCCCCCTGGGGCTCTCTCGGCACGCTCTCGGCGCGCTTCTGCCCCCCCCCCCCCTCCCGCTCGAAGCGCCAGCAACGGCGCCGAGCAATCATGCCAGGGGCCTCTTGTGCATGTGGAAGGGTTGCTTGGAATTCTGGGCGCTTCGCGCATCCCCCCCGAGCCCCGCGAGCCTCGAACGACGACTCCGACGCGAGTTGAGGTCCTGAGGGGAGAATAGGGGGAGAGACGGAGGCAATGGGTTTCGCCTGAAGGAGGGTCAGGGGGGCGGGATCAAAGAGCGGGGCGAAGACTGCGCGGATAGTGATGATGCTGATCACGGTGATAGCGGCGATGGTTATGGCGATGGCCGACATGGCCGCGGTTGCGCGCGACGGCCCGCGAGCAGAGGATCATGCATTTGTTTTGTTGAGCCAATTTCGGGTTGATGATCCTCCGTTTCTGCCTCCCTCCGTGCCGTGCCGTGCTCTCTCGATTGTCCAGGAGTCCAGGGTCAGGCGGCAGGCGTTTCCCTGAGGTTTGACTGCGGAGCGAGGCGTGCCCAGGCTTGACCTGGCACCCGCGGGTTCCCGAGCGGAGCCAAGCCCTCGTCGCGCATGCCCCTGGCCGCCAGGGCCTCTCTTGCAGCCCCCCCCGCTAGTGCGCGGAGTCCTCGTGGCCTTGTCCCGCCGTCATGGCGTCGCCTCGGCAGTTGTCTGGGTGCTCTCTTGGACCCCCAGGTCTTCGCTGCACTAACCAGAAAAACAGCTCCTACTGCCATCAACCCTTTGGGGCCCCTTTGGGGCCTCTAACCCTTACGCACTCGAGAGCGACCGCAGACCCTTCGACAACGACGGCGACAACCGACTGCTCTTGTTCGCAATTCCAGGCGATTCCGCGCGCCTCTCGAGTCTTCCCCAGTCCACTCTTTCCAGTCACGGTCCACAACTGCCCATCCCAGGCAGTTTGGGACAAAAGGGATGTTGCCATTATTTGGGTTGCAAGTTGTTAGGGGTGGACTAGGGTAGATTGAAGTGGTGATTTCAGGGTTGATGGCATCGTAGCGACGCGCCCCTCAATGAAAACACGTTTCGTCGTGTCCTCTGGGGAGGGCGTTGCCTCTCGGTGTTGCCGTCGCAGGTTCTCGGCATTGAAAGGCGTCGTTGGCGTCGGCCGATGTTTGGTCGACCCTGGCGTTCCACAACTATTGTCGGGACCCCGCTTGCCCGCAAATCGTTGGCTGGTTCCGATGTTGCAAAGGTCACTGAGGGTTGTCGAGCCGCCCCGCTTCTTGGAACAAGTTCGGCGCCCAGGAGATCCAGGTAGCTGACATGTTCCACAAGTGCGAACGCGGCGTCGGATTCTCGCCGAGAATCCGACGCCGCGATCGCACTTGCATGGATCACAAAAAGGGAGCTTGGAGACCAGCGGTTCCTGGGCGATCTTTTTTTCCTGGCTCCGACCCACGCCGCCAACGCCCCTCTCCCCCCCCCCTCGCCCCGCAGCCCACAGGACGGGCACTTCGACCCCGGCCTGCGGAGATGCGAGAAGGCGCCGCCCAAGGCCAGGGCCAAGTGCTGGGTGTGCAATGAGCTCATTCGCCCAGGCAGTTTCAGGCTCACGTATCGGTTTCGCAGGTCGAACTCTTTGAGGCACGAGTCGTATATGCACGGGCTCGCTGGTTGCATCAGTCGTTTGCCAGCGCCCACCAGGTTGGTCGACTTGGAATTCCTAAGGGATGAGAGAGTGAAGCCAGGTGTCGATGATGAATCTGTTTTTTTCCTCAGGGCCATGGAGTCCGCTCTGACCGCTCTGGATCCTGCATCTGGGTCTGGGGTTGCCTAGAACCTGGGCGTCTGGGGCGTCGGAGGGCTCGGCGAGACTGGCCCTCGGGCTTCGTGCACATCCTTGCCGCGGCGCCAGGCCCACCGAAAACGCGCGGAGCAAAACTGCACCAGCCATGGAACACAGTTTGTTCCATGGAACAAAATGTTGTGCCATGGAACAACATTTTGTTCCACGGAACAAATATTTGTTCCATGGCACAAAGTGCAGCCGACGTGTAAAATTACAATGAAATCCACGCTCGTTGGCTTCGAAGTGCGGACTTTGTTCCACGGTCAGGCGGTTTTGTTCCGCGGCGCGGAGATTTTGTTCCACCGCTTTCGCGTGCATCCCCCGCTCCTGGTGAGCCCGCTGCCAGGCTGACTCGACTCGGCGAGTTTCGGGCGCCATGACTTTTTCGAGCGGGGGGTGCCCAGTCTCGGCGGGGTTTCACCATGCCAGCACATTCCATTGATTGCGTCGTCTTCTCAGACCCGAGCTGGGAGCAATATGGGCCCGAGCAGCGATTCAGATATTATGCGTGGTCAAACATCACCATTTGATGTATCAACATGCGCACGAATACGTAACATGTCAGCGTTGTCACGTAGTAACAAGTCACTCTAGCTCACCACGTTTACAGCAAGCATAGTAAGAGCAAGACATGTAGAGGGTCACACTCACATGGGGGGAGGTTGTTTTGAGGAACGTGTCTGGGGTTTAGGTTGGCAAAGGGCCGGGCACCCGCGTGCGATGATCGCCCCCGTGGAACCGTCACAGGCCCAAGTCCAACAGTTCAGGCAAACGTCGAGCCCATTCCAGCTGACATCCGCTGCTGCCCCATGGCGCCCAAGGCCCGCTCGCCCTCGCACGCAGCTCTCGAGCGACGGGTCCAGAAGCTAGTGCGTGCCAACATGATCCTCAAAGCAGTGAGTGCGGGGCACGCCAAGCGCGCGAAGCTTCTCAGGACAAAGTTGAAAGAGCTTTCCAGGGTGATTGAGGCAGCTCACCGCGGGGACGACTTTCGCCAGATCGCTGTCGCCCAGGTCGCGCAAGACCTTGGCGCCCATGGCGCAGGTGGCTTTCTCTGGCGCCCGCGCGCACCATGGCCGCGCGGACCTGGGCGATGGCAGGTCGTCGTGCCCCGACGGGGGGGAGAGCGAATCTCGCCGTGCGCCTAGCGGCCAGTTCCCAGGAGCCTCAGGGGTTGCGCCCATCGCAGCGCCAGGTCTTGGCGCGATGGGCTTGAGGGGGAGGCCGCCGTCTAGTCTTCGTCGGCACGGTTCTCGCGACGACGGGCCCGACCAAGAAGCCATCATCCCCGTGTTGTCGTCGCCAGGGGGCTCTTCGCAGCAAGACCGTGCTGCCGCGGCGAGTCCGACTCCCGCGCCGAGGCAGAGGCGCGACAACCCTACGGGGACGGAGACCAAGAGGAGGAGGGCGACCCCGAACGACCAAGTTGACCAGGCGGAGAGCTACCGTGAGTACATTATGGAGCAGTTCTCCTGGGAGAACCATTGGGTCGACAGAGTCAGGAAGATGGATTTCGATGCAGTCGTGGAGGAGCTCCAGGGATTCAGCCGCACATGCGGAAGGATCGTCGTCAACGACAGGGCCACCGACATGTCCGTCAACCTCGCCGACCTCGCCGACCTTTTGGAGGCAAGGCATTTGTTCATCGATAGGTGCAGGAAAGACACCGTGAACCTGTTGTCGGAGCCGTTGGATGACGTCAACGCGAAGTTGCTGAAGTCCTGCCCCGATAGGCTGAAGGCCCACACCCCAAATTCCTTCAACAAAAACATGGGGACCAGGCCAGGACCAGTGCCCCCCCTGGGCCTAGAAACCATTGGCGTTGCAGCTGCAGCCTGAAACTGAAACTCAGAGTTGCCCGAATTCAGCGACGGTTGAAATACAGGGAGGGGCATCCCCCGCTAAAAAAGAAGTTTGCCACGTTCAGTTTTTCAAGTTGCCTGGAGTGGGCTGGGGTGGACCGAAGTAGTGTGTGCTGGAAAAACGGGACTGGACAGGGGTGGGCTGGGCGGGACAGCGTCCGCGTCGCTTCCTTTGCTCTTCTGTACTCTAGTACTCTATTATATTGTTGCTGTACCTGCTCTACCGACTCTGGTCTGCCCCATCGTGCTCTAGTGCATGTGTCGTCTCGGAGGGCCCTCGCACGCGTGCTCTCGGAGGGCCCAGTGGCGCTTCGAAGTGCCATCCCGGAGGGTCCCAAGCTCAAGAGTTAGGAAGGCCCAGGGGGGGCCCTAAGAATTGCTCAAGTGCCCCATGGACCGCTCGGATGTGATTACACAGCGCCTTGACGCATGTTTTCCGACAGCAAGTTTGGAGCCCTCTTGGGCCGTTCCTGCACTCTCTCGGCGTCGCCAAAACACGCCGTATCGGGGGGCCCGACAAAAGAACAACCGTTGCAACGCTTGTCCTTTTGGCCCCGTGGTGCACCGCTGGCGCGCGTCATCCAAACGCGCTGCTTGATGGCGCTTCCTAGCGGATTGCGGGGCGCTCTCGGGGCCAACTGGGGGGTTATCGTTGGGCGCTCCCGTGGCTCCCGAGAAGAGCAGCGACTAGAGTCATGTGGGGCAGGGTAAGGTAGACGGTCTCCGCGCATAGAATAGGGCATGGGTAAGGTAGATGGCACACTATATAGCCGGCTAGAAAGAGTAGGGTAGAGCAGGGTAGGGTAGAGTAGAGAGTAGAGTAGAGTAGAGTGGGACAGAGTAGAGTAGGGTGGGTAGAGCAAGACCAGAGGAAGCCATGCGGACGCAAGCGGGCCCAGCCCAACGCAGTTCAGCCCAACATTATCCAGCCCACCCGACTTTAGCCACAGTCCGCTCCATCCCATTCCAGGCAAACTTGGAAATCAACGAGTGTGGAATTCGTCTTTTTGTTCCAAGCGGGGGTCGCCTCATCATTCTGTCAGGCGCAGATCGTTACGGAGTGCCTGCACACGTTCACCACTCACGTCGCGAAGAACCCGAAGTCCAAGTTCATGGTGGGCGCGTGGTTCAGGTGCATGGCGGCTTCGACCGACGTCGGCTTCAGCAATTTCGTGGGGGATGAGTGCAAGGACAAACAATATATGGACCTCAGCCTCTTGGTCCCAGCCCACGCGAAGTCCGCCCAGGAGAAGATCGTCATGCACTTGGGAGATATCTTGTGGAGGATGCAGGACACCGCGGCTATCGTGACCATCTCTGCGGGGATCAATGACAAGCTGAAGTGCATCGACTCAGACCTTGCACAGGTGCGCGTCGACAGCGACGAAGTGATGGCAGGCAAGGGCTGGTTCCACCAAGCATGGGTGGACTTGCAATGCTTGCGGGTGCATGGGCTGGCATTTTCGAGGGGGGGGGTCGGGGTTCGTTGGCGACCGAATGGCGCGGGAGGTGATGGTGGAGTTTTGCAGCCATTCCGAGAAGACCTCCGCTCGCATGAAGAACACGTTCCGCATCATCCAGGGTTCGACTTTGCAGCATGGCAAGGCCGCTGCTGACGCAGTTCAGTTGTTCAAGTCGTCGTACATGACAGAGCAGTCCGAGTGCACGGTTGAGAAGTTGAACGCCATCCAGAGGATGATCGACGTGGGAAGGTCAGCAATTTCAGACGGGACGCTGGTCGATGCTTGGGATGCCATGATCGACATCATGGAGACCGACGTCAACGTGAAACGGTTCGCCGAAGTGTTTGGCGATGCCCCATCCGTGACGGATACGTGCTCGCAGATGCCGCCGAGCCCAGACACCGCCGCCTTTGTCCTCAGCACCCCCAACGAGGTGGCAACGAACTTCGCCAGTGTCGTGCTCGACCTCATCAGGGCCTGCTTGGAGCACGATGGCAACTACTTCCAGGCGGCGGTGAATGCGCTACTGGCTGGCGACACAAGCGCAGACGTGTTCCCCGTGCCGCCTGGAGAGGCGGCCCGAGAGGGCACGGCCGTCATCTCGCCGATGGAGGTGTTGGACTGGCTGGACGGCGCGCTCCAGGTTGCGCGACCTTTCCTTCCCAATGACATGTGGCTGTCGAAGGCGATCGGGCTGACCCAGGGCTTCGCGGAGCTCTTCAAGCCGACGGACAATTTGTGCGACCTGGCCATGAACTTCGGCAACGCCACCCAGCGCATATTGCAGGCGGCCGTGCAGAGGATCGACGACGGCGACTCGGAGTGCAAGTTCCTGCAAGGTTTCTGCGACAAGGTCGTGGGCGCGCAGTGGAAGAAGTATATCGTCGATTTCATTCTCGATGAGATTCCGAAGCAGGAGGGCGTCAGGGGCCTCGACGTGCTGACGACTCAGCTGTCCAACTACGAAATGTTCCTGTCTCCTGACGTCCAGGGCATCGTCAAGGTCCTCAGGGCGTGGGGCGTCGTGAAGGATTTGGCTTCGCGAGCGGGCCAGGGCAAGACGTGCGGGTACATCGAGCTGGCGCGCGCCATCGATGCCATGGAGAAGGCGCTGGCTGAGGAGCACGGCCCTGCGACTGCGAACAGGATTGCGGACTTCAAGAACAGCTACGACATCGTGAAGCAGTCCTGGGACGCGAGCCTCAGCGCCTCCCACGGCAACATGATGCGCGCGAGCGCCTTCGCCAAGACGTTCTTGGACGACAACCAGCGGGCGAAGGGCGCCATCGAGAAGTGGGAGTTCAAGGACGTGCCGAAGCTTCGTGGCGACTCGGAGGGGAGCCCTGAGGACGAGGCCAAAGGCAGTTCATTGCAGAGATAC